CTTCGTCGATCTGCCTGTTCTGCTCCCCACTCTGTCTCTGGTGAAGCCTCTCGCCGCCCCTGCACCTCTGACTGTACCCCAGTTCTGTATGCATAATATAAATAAATCTTTTAAAAAAAAATTGCCACCACCAATTCACCTGTGAGCCATCACTATAGTCATTTGCGTTGTTCTTCTCCCCTGTTTTGATCCCTTTTCCTTCCCTCCTTTTTTTAAAGATTTACTTATTTATGCATACAGAACTGGGGTACAGGCCAGAGAGGCAAGGGCCGTGTGGGTCATATTCTGGCCAGGTTATTGAACTCACGCTGCAGTGGCTGTGACTAGCGTTGTAGTGCTGCACTTTAACCTGTTGCACCACCGGAGAGGGCCCCTCCTCTTTTTTTTTAAAGTTTTATTTATTTATGCATACATCCACTGGGGCACAGGTCAGAGGTGCAGGAGGTGAGAGGATTCACTAGAGACAGAGCGGGGAGCAGAACAGGCAGATCCACTCTGCTGTGGGGAGCAGCGGGCTGGTCAGGAGAGGTCTGCTGGCGCAAGTTGGTCAGCTCGCTGACTGGGAATGGCACCCTGCTGCGGTGGGTGCAGACACCCACATCGTGCTGCGCTTTAACCCTTGGTGTCATTTGGAGGGCCCCTCTTCCTCTTTTTAAACACAAGTTTTTGGATCCCTTCCAGACTTATTTCTAATGGCCACATTTTTCATTTGATTCTTTAATCTTCATGGCAACAAAGACCTGCATGATTTATTTACCAAAGCATGGAGGATGTAAAAGGGGATACTGAGGTCCCTTTCTTTGGGACTGTCTGTACTTTTAAGTACTTTTGACTAAATCCGGCAGAGAAACAGGTCAGAGAGGCCTTTGCACTAGCCCTGATGTGGCCCAAACGCAGCCTTTACCAAACAGCGCCAAGTTCAGCTCCACACTCCCTGGAACACATTCCTTGGCCAGAGTGCTCTGCAGGTTTCCTGGGCAAGTTGCAAATAGGAGCACAGACTTCTGGCCCAGACAGGCTCCTGAGAGCCCACTGCCCCCAAATTAAGGGCTGGTGTGTGTGTGTGGGGGGGGGGATGAGTAAAGGGTTCCATTCAACATGGGAAAAAAATGAGGGGAAGGGAAAGGATATTTGGGCACTCTAGTTTCTGCTGAACTCTCAACTTCACTGTGAAGCTAAAACTGTTTTAACAAAGTCTACAAAAACTATGCGCACACCCAGGGTGCTGGCTTCGGGAGGTGAGGAAGGAGGGCGGGATCCAGGTCATTCAGGTGATGCACACCGCCCGTGAAACGGCGGACCTCAGGTAGCGTCTCTAGTCCGTAACGACACCGCTGTGAGCTGGCCGCTTTCTGCAGTTTTAGCCTCAATCCAACCACGGCATCCTCGTCCCTTGTTTCTCAGACCAGGGACCTGAGGTTCAGGGTGGCTCATCTGCCAGGTCACCCCGCCGTGAGCGGGCAGCGTGGCCGAAAGTCACACTCGGCCCTCGTCTGTCACTAGTGCCCCTCCTGCCTCGGCTGCTGAGCCCTCTTTATGCCTTATCTTGGAGCAAGGGAGCTTTCAAAGGGGAAACGCTGGCCTGACCTAAAAATAGCTTGTATTTATCGAGCACTTAGTCAGCGACACTCTGCTAAGCACTTTACCCAGATTACCTCCTTTAATCCTCCAGCACCCCGTGGTTATTATTATCTCCATTTTGCAGATGAGGAAACAAACCTAAGAGAGACTGATGTATTATTGCAAGCCACACAGCCAGTTGGTGACAGCCGGAGGGGAGCCTGGTCTGCCACCTCCCTCTGCCCCTAGCCTGTAGGGGGGCAGCAAAGTGGGAAGTGGAGGGGAAGGACCACCTGTGAAGGGCACCTCCATGAGACGTCACGACTGGCGAAGGTGGGAACGAGTGGCGAGCAGTTCAAGGGTGGCTGTAATCCGGGGCCCCTTGCTTTGGACCTGAACCGCAGATGGGTTGAGCCGGAGGTCAGGGGCTGGGGTGTCACCCAATCTTCCCCACCGAAGCCAGAGGTCCCTTATGGATGGGGGTAGGGGTGGGGGAGATGCAGGGAGTGATCTGAAGTTCAAGCTCTCCCCTCCCCATCTAGTGCTGGGTGAGGGGGTGTCATCTCCCTCCCAAGATAACAGGGCCACCTCGCCCTCCTCCTGTGGCTATTCTGGGCCGTTGTTATTTCTCCCTCTCTTCCCATGCTTCATCCTTTCTGCTCAGAGGAGCAGGCTGGGGAAAGGCCAGCCAGTTACATAACCCTGTGGCTGGGACCCCAGCCGCCTGGTGGGAGAACAGGTGCTCAGTCCTCCCTCACCACTGACAGTGAAGCTGTCCCCCTGGGGTTCAGTCTCGGGGTGGCCCAGCATGGAGACAGCCACAGGTCCAGAGGGGACCCCAGGATCCGCACTGAAGGTGAAAGAAGCCAGCCCAGCTGATGCCGAACCATCCCAGGCTTCACCTCGACTTGGATCGGGCAGTGCCATTCCCCAGCTCCCATCCCCTGTCGAAGGTGACCCATGGGCTTGCGGAGGGTGGGAGGTCGGGTGGTGGGAGGCGGGGTGACATGCACTCTACACTCTAACTGAGCTTCCTTAGACTTGTGTGGAGTTGACCTGCTTCCTCGTAGTGGCACTTAGGTTGGGGAAGTATTTGATAAGCCCTTCTCCCCTCTCTTCCCTGATGCATCTTTCTTGCTGCCCAAATATCTCTGCTGGGGCTTTGCTTTTTAGTCAAGAAGTCAGAGCGTAGTGTTTGTGGCAATTATAGTGACTAAAAATGACCTGCTTGTATTTTTGCCTTTAAAAAATGCCACTGGTACACAAAGGCCAGCCAGGAGGAGCATGAGGGTGAGGTGGTGGCTGGAGGAGGAGAGAGAAGAGGAAAGTCCAGAGTGGGAGGCTCCATGGCAAGCAGGCAGGACACCCTGCCTCTCCTTTGGCGATGATGTGGGTGCAGGACACCCTGCCTCTCCTTTGGCGATGATGTGGGTGCAGGACACCCTGCCTCTC